CGACGGTTCGATACCTCACGATCGATCGATCTTACATTCTCGGTGATATCTACTGGCACCCAGTGACATGTAGTAACCGTGCAATTACTGAAGGATGTTATTTTCTTGATTTGCTCCCTTCGCAAGGGAAATAGGTGCTCGTGAAATCTGTGATACCCAGTCTGCCACTGCCGACTAAGAAATGAAATGAAAATTTCATCGATTCGACGTAGATAAAAGCCCTCAAATCAACTCAGAGAAAATCAAGTTTTCAAAGACTCCGTAAAACTCTGCGCGCGTTGATGAAATCGATCGATTTTACGACCGAAACCGCAGAGTCAACCGATCGGCCAATTGATCGGCCGCGCACGGAGACCTCGTTTCGATATCGCTTCGATATTCGACACAACCACGGGGAAACGTTCGTCTTTCATGGAAGATTCAACGCGCGTTTTCGCTTCCTCGCGTGCGCGCGGAGAACGATTTTCAGCGGTTGGTTGCCGCAAAAAGTAACGTCGACGATTTCTAACCTACCTTAACAACGTGGGGTGGCAACACCGGCAAGAAAATAAAGTGGAACCGACGGGGCAGGGCCAGACCTTCGATAAATCATTTATTAGCGTTTAATGGCCAGTCTGGGACGCCTCGGTACGTATTCCATTTAATAAGATGGTTTGCCAGCCAAACCGATAATTACACTTACCGCAAAGAACACCCGTCCTAGAGTCGTTTTCTGTCCCGTTTCGCTTAAGCTTTTTATACTTGCGCAGCAGCGAAGTGCAAGAAAGAATTTTTATCGGAGAATATCGGCGAGCATCGTAGCCTATCACGTTTATGTCGTTGATTTTTCTACATTTGTTGCATAAATCGGTCCTCTCTTTATTCACTAGGTACTATGTTTCATATATAATTCTACATCAAATATGTATATTTGTCTGCGCGAGTGACCATTTTCTCTACTTAAACCAATCAAGTGAATCTTGCGTATCTAACTAGCAATATTAATAGTTTGGCAGGTTCCCATTGTTCAGTTCTATCATTTCACATCGAATAGGATAATTGCAATTGGTCTGAACTCGTTGCTGATATATAGTATAAATTCGCAATCTGTCAAATTTCGCCAGTTATAAAAAAGGTCTTCTGATATCGGTAGAAACCGATCTTTTCTTAATTCTTCATCGCTGCACACGTTGACTTCAACGTTTCACATCGCGATCCTCAAGTATTCGCAACGGTACGTGTTCTTCCTCTCGCATTCAAGTCGAACTGTTTCGTGGATTTCAATCGAAAGCTTTTATCCACGATATCGTTGGCAGAGGCCTTGGTGAACCTATCAAAAGGACATCAAGAGGTAACTGTTCGTTTCTGTGCTTCATATGCAGAGCAAACAAAGGGTGGCCCGAGCCAAGGGACGAACCAGCGTAACGAGGCAGTGAAAGTGGGAGAGAAAGTGAGGGGATGCTCGGAGAGGGGCAAAGAGTGAAAGGAAGGAAACAGGGTGGGAGGAAGGAAGGAGAGGCTCGTAGCCGGATAAGAGGATGAGAAAGAGAGATGGAATCGTTGCTCGGAGGGCTGTGTAGGTAGGTTCAAGGACGACCACGCCCTGTCTGCCGTACACCACCCTCTCGACGACTCTCTCTCTCTCTCTCTCTCTCTCTCTTTCTCTCTTCCCCTGCTGGTGTTCGCTACGCAGTTCGCAAATCGCCTGGAAACAACCCCTAAATTTCAGGGCCGCGTCCTCTAACCGGCAAAGAACCGCAACGTTCGCTCGTTTGTTCGTTAATTCGTGCGTAAAAGTTGATCGGCACCCGGATCGCTCCCGATGCATTTTCCGAAACATCAGACGCTATTTTTTCCCTCTACTTTCGCTACCTTCTTTTTTTATTTTTACTTTTTTTTTTTTTTTTTTTACACGTATATACATTTTTCGCGGAACTTCGCTTCGAACATTCAGTTCGTTTCGTATCTGGATGCCAGAAAGACGTTTGTCTTTTCTTACTTTTTTTTTTTATCTTTCATCGCAATTGTTTTTATAGATTACGATTGGTACACGTAGATTAATGGGAATTTATTTCTGTGTGGGAAACAAAATCTCATCTGTTTCAAGCAAAAATCAAACGATCGCGTATCGTTTCTCAACGATCGTGTGTCTGAACGCACGACACTGGTGAACACGCGAACGGTTATCACGAACAAGCAACGTAATGAACAACGGACGACATCGGTGTTTCCGGACATAAAACGCGCGCGACTGGTCGGCGAGTCACAATGATTCAGAGAAAATACGGTATCTCGTCGAGGCGGAAGATTAGAAATGTGGCCCCGTAGTCGCGTGAGACGATGATAAATGAATTTGTATCGCGCCGCGTGACGTAAACTATGACGATTACGAAGAAACAAGGTCGAATCAGAGATCCAAAAACGAGAAAAAGATTAGCAGTCGTCGTGGTGGATCTCGCTTACCAATTTGAATTAAAAGAAAAGACCATTGGATCTGTCCAAATATTAACGCATAGCTGTGCCATAGGAAACTATGTAGAATAATTTCAAGTTAAATCACTTAAGTTTAACCCTCTTAGCAACCCTTGCAATTTTATATACATCGTCCAGCACTACAAAGCATTGTCGTAGAAAAAGAATGCATAAGAATCTTTTCAGTAGAAATATTTTATAGAAATAAGAGGCATTCATATGTGCAACAAATATTCAAAGTTATTAATTAAAATGACACAAAATGTATCGGTTCTTGGATACTAAAAGAGTTAATCTTATCATAGAGGATATGAAGTAGGAGAAAATAGCCTAAATTTTATTTATGGCTCAATAATATTATACTTGAGGAGTTGTTTATCTAATTTTTATTTTAAAACCGAGATACTGAAATATTTCGAATGCTATTTCATTTATATAATACTAGCAGATACTATTAACGCACAACTGATATCATTGGAGATTGTAATAATTTAAAGATAAATTACTTAATTTTGAAATTTTTATTTTAGTTAGTACTTTCATCGTAGAGAATATAAAATACGAAAAAAATATTCTAAATTTTATATATGATTCAATAGTGTTGTACTCGAACGGTCGTCTAATCTAATTTTTCATAAATTTTTAAAATATAAAGACGTGGGAATTATTTCGAATATCGTTCATTTCGTTCGTGCGATATCGACGGAAGATGAGCTAATCGTTCTTCCGTTAATTACAAAAATTGCTGCCTTCTACGCAACTATTCGTGTCAAGGGACTAACCTGTAGGGACGTTGACGATCACACTTCTATCGAGTATAAATCGAAGTATATGGTAAATTCCACAGTCTGCAGCGAGTGTTTTTCTCCCCGGTTCCATTTGTGAAACGCCAAGTGAAACGCCTTCCGTTCGCTCTGCGGTGAAACCAGCCGATTAGCGACAACCAAAGTGGTGCACATCTCTTAACTTTTCCTTGTCCATTCAATACACGAGGTGTTCTGTAACACGTGGGAAGTAGAACAGAGGGTTCCTCGTGGAAACATAAATCGGAAACGTTAGAACAAAATTTTTTTCGTCTGAGGCTTTGTTACCGAGAGAATCGAGCTCGAAGATTCATCAACTATATACTTGAATTTAGCTCTATTGGCATACTTGATTCTAGACGTGACAGAGGAAAATAATTAACAGGAAATTATTCTGCGTGCGAAGGTAGGTCAAAGATGCCGAATAAAATTCTTCCATTCAAAGCTACGTTTTCGTGAAAATAGCACGTGTGCCTGATGAACTTTCAATTTGACAGATCTCCTCGAAAACGGAGCGCCTTGCAAAAACATTTTATTCTATGTTTCATATTTATTTTCGCAGAATATAGAATATTATTATTTATACTTGTTAAACCTCTAAACTCGATTTTCAAACAAAATTTTATTCCACCAAATTTTTATCGTTTCATGAGAGATCACCCCCTATTTTATCTGTGTGTTGCAGAACACTCTGTATTTGAAATCAAATCTTCATCATCAAGTCCAATTTTCCCGGAAATTTTTCTCGATCCCATGTGTGCTACTCGTTTCCGATTCCGTTTAAATTGGGCGATTGGCCAATAGCGCGACTTAATCATAATTGGCCAAAATTTCTGATTAAGTCGCGCTATTACGTAACTGGTAAACGCGAAATAGGATATAAATGGATCGAACGATCCGTGTTTACGGAGATTGTTTACAAGGCCCTGGCAAAACTGGCAGATTATACTCTCTTAAGCGGGCGTACATACGTGTATCGTCGCACGAACGATTAGAGCCTGGCAACAGAAGTCAGATAAATCTCCGTAAATTCTAAGTTCACTGTGCTTCCTGCTCTCTGACTGTTGTTTGACACAAGAAGAGTTTTTTTCTTCTTTTCGAAATGATAGTTTTTTTTTCTTTCTTCTTCTTCTTCTTATTTGGATCACTTTATAAAACACTTATTGTTCGATTGGTCATACAGCCTATTTATCTGAACTCTGTCAAGAGCAAGTAACGACTGAATGATTGGCGTCAAGTTTATCTACTTATTGTTTTATTTACTGTTATTATTTTTTTTGTTTTTATTTAAATGATAGAAATTGGACGGTGATTTTAATTGGCAAAAGTTCGTTCAAATTGCGAGAATCGATATTCTGTAACATTCCGTCCAAGAAGAGATAGAAAATTTCTCAGAATTGTTAACGAGTACTGTTTCCTGTAACTAATGAACGCTAACTAAGAGTTTGCTCTAATATTCTCCCGACACTTGGGAAAGTGTTTCGAAAAAGCCTTTCATCGAACTGCAAATTTTAGATTTTCTATTGATAATCCATAGGCAGGAGTTCACGAAGCAGTTCGTCGACGAGCCTCGATTCCGGAACAAATAACGTTGACGCAGCAGTGTTTCCCCCCCCCCCTCCCCCCCATCAAGGTTATTGAAAAAAGAATTTCACTCACTTACGCCGATTTCGTCCGATGAATAGCATAAGAAGTCTGGTGGACGCAAAGTGGTATCTCCGCAAAGTGCATCGACGAGGGCTGACCCTCGACCTCAGATAGGTAGCACGGCCATTATCGACACTTTGAGCAGTCGAAAGCGAGGGGGACGCGGTACCGTACGCGGGGTGGGAGAGGATGCTGTAAAACGATGAAAAAATATCGGTCCAAATAACCCAGAAAAAAACACGGGCAGATAGCGGTTCGGATAAAGAGCCTCGTTACCGAGGCGAGCGTTCCGCTTCTGACTGGCTCGCGAGCTCGATCGACTGAATAATTCCGCGCGTCACTTTAATCCCGTGCTTCTTAATAATTTCATCGCTGTCTAAGGTTGGCACGACGCTTAATTAACCCGACGACAAATCATAACGTTCGTAATAAATTCACGCGGATCGATAATGGGGTTAACCTACGATCTTTCCATCGTCATTCCTCTGTTTCTTCTGTTCCTCTTTTTTTTTTTTTTTT